AGAATAGAGTGTATGGCTGTCATCCACGAAGCTACCAGAATGTCTAAGGCCCCCCGACGAATACATTGTCATTCATTTAGTGAGCACTGGAGACTTGAAGGCGGTAGCTCTACAGGAGCCGCTACTGAGTGGGGGGGCTACTATACAACTGCTGCCATTTGGACTAGTAATCTCTTCAACATCTACTTCCATCTACTACTGTAAGTATCCCCTGTGGAATTAATGTACACTGCCTTTAAACCGCATGGTGAACTGGAAATGCATTGATTTAGATATTCACCTTGGTTATGTGACTGTGGATACTTACTGATACTCCAGATCGCATAGATAGGCCCTTTGTAGTTGGCAAAGCTAAAAACTGAAGAACTTTCTGGTGAATGGACGTCTATATTACTAAATATGAAACTATGCAAATGTGCTAACAACGTCGTCCGGTTATAACTCAAACTTCGAACACTGCGCGCTTTTGTCGTTGATAGTGGAACCTATGTGTGTAATGACAGATGGGAATCCATTCTCGTCTCTTGATTTGCAGCAAGTTTTAATAAGTTTATGCACACCAACAACTTGCTACGTGAGTCATATAATTCCAGATACTATTCTGTAAACTTTCAAAGTTATCAGACTGACGGTGCTTGTGAACTGGTATCTGTCATGTTAAACCCATTATATGGGAACGGAATTTTTATCGTCAGCACTTTGACGCACTGCGTACGCTGAAAGTGGTATTTTCTTTGTCCTGTGACCGCCATCTGATGTTTTTGATGGAATTAAACGACTTCTCCTCTCTACTATCCAGGACCCGTAAAATATTGTGGACTTTTCGACATATATCAGTATTTTGAGGGGGTTGTGGAGATTTGGAAATATTTCAAGTTGTTATTCATCGAAGACTGACATCAGTTGGAGGAACAAAGGATGAATAACAACTTGAAATATTTCCAAATCTCCACAACCCCCTCAAAATTTAATTGAACTAGTGCTTGTTGGTGACTAGCTTCGAGAAGTATTCCCGAAGTTCCAATGACAAGTCGTGACCGGTGGAGTCAAGCCTGATGGCCATGAGGACAAATACTCAGCGATGACATTGGGTGGCGGTTTGCGCTATATCGTGAGCTAACAGAAGTTGGAAATATGGAGCATTGGATTCTGACCCAGTGGCTCAATGGTAACGCGCTGGCCGCGGAACCTGAAGGTCGCGGGTTCGATCCCTGCTGGTGGGGTCGTGGGTGCGCACTGCTGAGGAGTCCCATACTAGGAAGAAACAGCTGTCCAGTGCTCCCGGGTTTCCTTTGTTCCTCCAACTGATGTCTGTCTTCGATGAATAACAACTTGAAATATATCAGTATGATGACGACTGCAAACTGGCTTCTCTCGCGTTAAATTACTAACGTGAGAGTAGAAATTTATTATTATTACTAAACAGGTTCAGAGGCAAACGCACTCAAAATGCACACTAATTTACCTAGTTTCATCAATTACCCAAATTAGAGAGAGGGTGACAAATAAATCTCACCGAACGAACTGGATACCGAAAATACGACATGTTGGTGGCATAGGGTAACTGCACCAAGGTAATTAAGTTGTTTAATGATTCGTTAAGATCCTGGTCCAAAATGGGTCACGGCCTACTTTTTCGGTAGCTTGGGGCTGTCAGGACAACGGATCTTTTGAAAATTTGGTTGAATGACCTTTCAACGGTTGCTGACAAGAAGAATGGGTCTTCGTCATCTTGGTTCACAGTGTCTAACGGGTATCCTAATGACCCTTCGCCAGGCTTTTTATTGCTTCCGATCTCCGCCCATGACGTGCCATGACCCTGTACGCCTCTTCTTGCCGTTATGTGCTGACCACCTCAGGGTTAAGAGGGAAATGTCATTCTCTCCAATGCAGCCTAAAGCGTGTCACCTTAAAATGAAATAATACCGGTTTATTTAAAGTTTCCAAAAGCCTTCTGCTATTTGGGGAGCAGAAAGTTTCCTCATTCTGTCGTTCATATGAATATAAAGTATTTTTCACCGATGCCTTTGATATATCTGCACGTTTTCGATCATCTACAAATAAGGCTTGCAGTATTCATCGGCTTCTGCAAAAAGCTCTAGGAAGCCTGAAATCGTAATCGCCCAGAATGGTTTACAGTTTATTGTTCCATCCCTATCTGCAACTTCGTTTAGTTGTTTCTTTAGGACGTGCTAAAACAGACGCCGAATTTTTGTGTCGAGTACAGACCTCAGTAGCTGAGAAGGCAGTAGGATTGGGAAACAGGTTAAATTCAGATCCATCTAAGTACAGCTTACTTATAACCCGTAGAGTACAAAATGATGGAGAAAGAAATATTTTTGGTGAATCTTGCCGCACACAGCCTCACGCCACCGGATCAACTTTATAATCTGGTCCTAAACTCAAATGAAATTTTTTGCGCTGTTGAGTATGAAGAAGCCTCCCGAAAATTGATTACTAATATTTCGTAGGAAGTACATGTAGGCTATGAGACTTCTTTCCTGAAAACTTTGTGATGGCCACCTCTCCAGGTGCTATCAAAGGCAAGTTGGATGTCAGCTTTGGAACTAATGGGAAATGGAAGGAGTATTCATGGTGCTTTCCCTCTACAGGAAGTTACAAGGGAATGCCAGCCTTTTCAAGAATAGCAGAGGAAAGAAAATCCCCGGAATCAGATTTAGGATATCAGGACTGAAGGTGATGAGCGTATATCATTCCTCCTCTAATGGATAAGTGTGTTGCCAGTCTTCTCTCGAGGGGATCAATTGATGGCTGGGATACAACTTCCTCAGATATACGTTTCTAAGGGTTGATCATTTGTCCTGAAAATAAGCACTTCATAGCGATAAAATTACTTGATGGTTTTTTCACCCCTCTGCACTCTGTTCTCAGGTTACATCGAAAAGTGAGAAGGAAAATGGGTGGCATAATAAGTTGAGGTAGTTTCCGAAACTCTTGCAGAACATGATTAAGTTTGTCCTCCGTCTGCGATGAGATAAAAGAAAGACGTGAAGTTGTCAGGTAATTCGTGGCATGTCAAACCAGCCTTTGCAGGAGTCATACTAGTGGCCATTCTCTAAAATCTTTCAATAAAGTCTGGGTCAATTTGCAAACAAGGGATTACGGCATGTGCAAAGGTCTTCCGCTCACATCTAACTTGGGCTATACATAAAGTGCTAGTTACGTCGCCACCAATAATTCTAAAAGTTCTATCATTTTCCAATCTCACGAAACCTTAAGCCGCGTTCGGTCAGTATTGCACTGGAGGTTTCAAGCTCTGACATACAATGACTCCTAAACTTTGTTGGCCAGCACCGAAGATAATGGAAAACGACTAGTTACGTATGTTGCGCATCTTTTTCTAAGTGGTTACGTGCCCGCGTACGTTTATACGCATCGGAGATCTCCATGGTTAGGTTAAGAAGCAGTCGAAGTCGGTCTGAAGTATTTGTACATTGCCGTAGTCCCCTACTTCTCTCTAGACGTCTAAATAACCAGTGGGGACGATCATAAGGGATCTCATGATCCTCAGTATTTCATTTACGCCCATAATGAGCGGTAGGGGAGGTGAGATTGCCCGTATTCTGTATCACCTTTCAATAGTGATGGCGAAATAAGCGCATATTTTATGTTTCTTACTAGCAAGCAGCTCGCTGCTGCTGATGCCTCTTGGGCACGAACCACTGATTACTTATGCTTCTGTCATCTTGAATTTATCCAATGAATGTATCTGAGCGCAGACGGAAGGATGTGCAATAACCTTTGCTTCTTTCTCCCCTTCCAATTTCAACTGGGATTCCCTCTTTTCTCCTGTTGCGATGTGCGCTCGATGGTAAAGGGTACGCCTACAGTTCATATCAAAGGCCTCGTCTTAATGCCCGAAAGTATTAGGGAGTTAACTTCTAGCTTGCTACCCATCGTAAGTGTCTTCTTATATCCTACTCCTTGTGGATGGTGGAAAGTCATGCAAGTGAATCAGGGATGAAGGCGACAGGCTCATTCCACAAGGTGATTCGATCCGAAAAATGTTAAGCAGAACTAAATCGGCGGACCAGCTCTAAAAAATGTAACGCTTTGCATCTACACCATGTTGCTCGTCGCACGTTCGAACTCAGGGACATGCAGTTGAAGGCATCTTTGACTCAGGAGGGTTTTGGGGTTAGTTGCCTATGAACGCAAATCCTACGCTGTGCCAGAAAATTAGTCCTTACAAATGTGATGCTTGTAATGTGAGGGAAAACTTGGGTGCTGTGGTACAGTATAATTCCACATTTGATTGTTTGGTGTCACACAATGGCAGAATAAATTGCTTGATGACTTCTCGAGAAGAATTTATCCAGTCACTGGAGTCCTTCAAACACAAACACCGAAGGTCACGGTGTGAGTTTGAAGGCTTAATCACCGACAATCTGCTCTATTTTAATTTTCTTAAAGTTGGAACGACTATTCCTTTCAGTGAATTTGTATAGTGTAGCTAGAAGATGGGGGTTGTCCGAGAAATGTGGTGTTCTCGCTCAGTACATCCCGAACAGCCAGGTCACATATTTAGCTGTTAGGGCATTTTGTATGAAGGATGAAAATAGCGCGGGTTAGGATAGGTAAATTAAAATAACACAAGATTCGGAAAATAAGTGGACGATAAGGAAGAATTATACATTTTCACACCTCTCTTGGGATTAAAACGAAACAAAGATTACCTAGGTAGGTTTAAGGTGAAGAGAAATTGTTGTTGTTCAACATGACATCTGAAGAACCGATCTGCACCACGGTCCTAGGACAAACACCGTCACAAACTTAACCAACACCAAACTACTTGTTGAGCTTACCAAAACTACAGCAGGCAGCTGCGATCCACCAATGACCTGAAACTATTCCATGAGACATTGAAGCTGGTATAGAAAAACCAGTTAGCTCACACAAGCTCACATGAAGATATTGTATATTGGATTAGGAGCGGTTTATGTGTTCTGCGTTACAATATCACGGAAATCTACTACAGTATGTACTCTGGCCCTTCAAAACCGGGAGACCCTATTGACTTAGAATATTTCCTGACTACTGATAAACCAGAGGTATTGACGCATACTGAGTTTCATTTTTCAGGAAAAAGTTGCAAAATGCCCCCCAGAAATATGTAGGTTTTGATATTGACATTTGTTAGTGATGGAATGTTAGTTTTTAATTTGGGAATCAATCCTGTTGCTGATGGTTCTGCCTACCTTGAAGTGGGTGATATCAAGGTTGCTTGCTCCGTCATTGGTCCTACTGAAGTATGTTTGCTGTGTATTTAGCTTACACAGTTCGTTACCACAGATGCGTCAAGATAGTCAGTTGGTCACTGCGCTGAAATTCGCTCCTTTTCTGTCATGGTTGCCTAAAGAAAGCCAGTTATCGTTAGAGAAGAAACTAGGACGTCTATTGTTGAGTGCTATTGAGCCTTCTGTTATGCTGGTGAGTTTAAATTTGCGTAATACCAACGACGTTCATATATATGCATTCTCTCCATTTACACTCTTACTCACTATTAGATTTTCTTTTTCCCTTAATTTATCAGTTTCGGTAAGTCACTACGTTGCGTGAACTAGTCATTTTTAATTTCTTGAACTTCAAGACAGTAAGAACATGAATACACAATGCCAGACCGGAAAAAAGTCGGTTTGGCCGTTGGGAGAACTATGTGAGCGAGGAAATATTTCTACATAATTAGCTCCTCCTTGACGTTCCCAAACTATCGTATAGCATTTTGAAGTGCAAAATAACATAGCAATCTAATAACATAAAAAGTCAATAACACTGAGTTTCTGGGGTCAGAGGATGATAATCAACTAAGAAAGTTGACAGTACTTAAGGGATCGAATAGGTAAACAGCGAATTTGTAACTCTGAATAAGACATATAATTTGGAGCTTGTATAATTGGGATTAATAAAAAAGAATGAGTGATTGTCAAGTTGTCGTTTGTAAGTTGTAATCACATTGAAATAATTAAAAACTAATGGAAGAAAGGCACCTAAAACTGTTATATCATCTACATTAAAAGTGGTCGTAATGGTTTACGAGACGAATAAAATGGAGGGGTCTTTTTTGTATGCATACCATGTGGATGACTAAGGTAGATGATTTCTTTTAGATTCCAAGGTCAGGTTGATTTCGGAAGCTTTAGCTGTGCAGAAGACAGGTTTGTAAAGCAGTAGTGAGATTAGAAGAAATATCAGAGATGACTGAAGACACTGACAATGTGTTGACTTGATGTTCATTGTCAACAAGGTATGTAACTACTAGGTTGTACGTCGATCTTGTCAGCCACATGCTTTACTAAAATAACTGCTTTTCGGACATTCGATAACCGAGTTGACCAAGCGTATACCTAACGTGATTGACTCCACAGGGTCAGTGGAAGCGGTAAATGCACATGAAGAAGGCAAAATCAAGTAGTGTTTCTTTGATTCGTGTAGTCAGTATCGGCCTGTTGTACAGCACGCAGCGTAACTTTCTTGGATTTAATGATCCTTTTTGAAAATCTATTAGCCGCCACGTCACAATCCATCTGATAATGTGACTGCATAACTACAGTTTTACAAACAGCAATTTCTGAAAGGCTGATAATACTCTGATTTATGTACTTAGATCCCTTGATGGATTCGGAGAAAACAAAAACTCCTGGTTGTCATTCCCTCTGTACAATTGTCTTAAATATATAGATTAGCTATGGATTTGGAGCACAATTTAGGATTACAGACTTCCTAGCTTTAAATTATCTCACATCTTAATGGCCGTTGTAATTCGAGGATGTATGTAGCTGGAGAGTATTCCTGATATGAAATGAAAGCATTTTATTTCTTCTTGCTTTGTCTGATTTGTGTTCTACGATTTTATGTACTTGACTAGGAACTTCACTGGATACCCACGAATACTGATTAGATGATGGGTAGTCTTGAGGTTGCAGGGGTGCAGGTTGTGTTACTATTACGCAACACCTGACCAACCCCTACTGAACTCGGTGTGTTGTAGTACCTGCTAAGTCAGTACCTTACCTAACGTGTAAGTGCTGATAGCGAAAGGACTAGTATTCAGGAATATATTCAGAGGAGCAATATATTTAATTAGAATAAATTTGATAATAATTATGAAGGGGAAAAGTATCCAACTTATCTGGGTAGTGTGGCTGAACTAGGAACTCTGAGGATGTGCATGTTAACCAGCACAAAGGAAGCACAAAACGGCATCGAAGACTGCTCAGTTGCATGCTCGTTAAAAAAAAAAACTTAAAACACTTTAAGCATCCGAAGGTGAGCTAGAGGTGTAACTAGTTAACATTTAGTTAGTTCACTTTAATCTGTCTGTTCTGTCCCCAGTTGCACTTTGGTGTCAGGAAGGTGCACTAAAAGCTCCTCATCAAAAATGTGATGTAAGCAGATTATTCGGTGAACCAAACTACTAAATTTCGTTTATATTGCATGGGCAACAAGCTCTAAAATAAGTGTACTAACCACTTGACTTTGGTTTCCGATATACTAGTTTTTATTGCCCCACGCGTTTTAATAGTCAATAAGATATCTTTTAAAAAATGATGCTACCGTTACGTTGTCTTGTTGGATGAATGTCATTCCACTTGTCAAGTGTTCGTTCTCATCGTTCGGAATAACGAATATATGGCCAAAGTAACAGTAAAATCGTGATTCAACTCTGCTCTCTAAAAGGGTCATTCTCTAACCTCGCCATGGCAAAGTACGTAAGGAGTTAATTCAGTGGCTATCTCATACTAGCACTATCTGACTATTTATAGTTTTCGCTGAGGAGGTAGTGGATATTCATTGTCCCTTCTAGAAAAACCTCTCTCAAGACAAATGCAGAAACTCATACATAATAAGCAGATAGTGTGACACAATTACGCACAATGTAATATCTTGCAACTCTATGGAGTCTCTTCTTATTCATTGCTCGCAAGGTTTCTACTAAAAACAAGACATTCAACGAAGAGGACTCCTCAACAAAGTTATTCTCAAGCTGTGCATTCGTACTTATAGATGATATTTAAAGACTGTAATCTGCAAGCAAAATTAAACTTGGATAATGGAAGATTGAAATTACAATCATCATGGTCACAATTATAATAATGTTGCCAGTTGATGGTGTAAAGGTTCAGTGGTAACAAAAAACCTTCTGATTTGTTTCTAGGGTCCATATAGATTACAAAGGGGTGAAAACATGGTAGCGTTAATAAATAATCAACGGACTAGGTAATATGAATGAGACAAGTCAATTGGGATAAATTGAAAATGTTTCGTCAAAAGATTAAATGAATTAACACCGGAAACTATTAAATGTAAAAATGATAGTGATGATGATGATGATACATGAGTACAAAGATTAACCTAACAAAGGGGGAAGGTGAAACAAAATGAAACAAACCAAGACCAAATTAAGTTAAGGTCAAGGTAGAAACAAAGACTATGCATACTTCTTTTGCATACAAAGGTCAGGCTTCATTTCATGAATAGCCAAGGCCTCTGCTTTTTTTAAAAGTTAAAGTCGTAAAAAATGTAAACTGTTTGAAAGAATTCCATAGACAACCTTAAAATCACTACTTGGGTCGGTTGAATGGTTAGGATGGATGTAATGTCCAAGGGTGGAACGTCTAATGCATTTCCTTCCACCTTCAGTGGAATTCACTACAAAGACGGGATTGGAATCAGCTATTCCTTTCCTTGACGTATTAATTACGAGACGTAGCAATGGGATACTAAAAAGATTCATCTACAGAATACCCATGTCGAACAGGCACCTTATTAGTTTCTGCAGTTAGGTGCCGATCATAAACAAAAGGAACCTCATTCACTCACTTTGCTATCAAATACGAAATATTTGTGGCACAGACAGTGCAAGTTGAACTTGACGTTTTGAGAAGTATGCTAGCGGAAAACGGCAACTTAGCTGGTTTGTTGATAAAAAAAGTGTGCTAGAAAAAGGCATGCAAAACCAGTCATCAACTCAGTTTGTAAAAGGACTTTGTTCATGAATCTGGAATTTAAGGATAATGAAGCACCAGACATCCCAGAAAATCTTCTTTCGATATCAAATAGTGGGACTTTTTCCAAACTGCCTTTGACCTTTACTAGTGGTAAGTTGTTGTCCGTTTGTGTAAAAGACAATTTCCCCCTACAGATCTATGTATATCTACCAGCCCACTTGCTCATGTGCAACAAGGTATATCGATCCTGAGAATGTATACAAGAACATGGCTGTCCGAACATCAGTGGGTGGAGTGGCGTTCGAATCTTTGATTTTCTGTTTGGAAGTGAAATGAGCTGCTGCTATAAATGAAGTATCTTATAAATAAGTTCCCAAGGAAACCTTAAAAGGAAAGGAAATAGCTCATGTTGACATTCATTTATATGCAAACGCGAATCAGAGGGGGAGAGATAGAATCCTAGAATAGTTTCTGTTTACTTTTTCACTGCAGTTTAAACACGATGTTTAGTTTTGGGGTCACTATTATGAGTTTCTTCGTCATCATTTTTGACATCTAGTTAATAAGTGTGATTACTGGTCACTTGTACATCCTTATTCGTTGAATTTCGTACCGCCTATACAACTCAAAAACTTTCTTAGGATGATATTTTCCGAATCTCTAGCTATCTGAGTAACTATAAGAACCCAAATCATAGTTCTTGCTAATGTCCTGCTGAAGAAGATGTGGCTTACACAGCGAGACGTTCAGAAACATCTTGTTTTGATTTTCCAAACATGCTGGAGGTATAATAGAGTGTATTCTTATCTGAGTAACTCTTCTAGTAATATTTTACATGAACGGATAGAAAGATCAACACAGAACCCAGCTCGAAGTTGCATCAGTCCAAGTTGCGGCAGCATGTAGCGACGCACCGAAAAAGGAATGACATGAAGAGGGAAAAATAGACGGATGTTATTGAAGATGTTCAGAGTTTCGATTAAAGAGATTAAATACACCCGCAACATTAACTGATTTTGAGCCATGCTTTTAAAAGTCTCCAGCCAATGATTCTAATCATTTCTAGGACCCCAGAAAAGCCTACTACACCTCTCAACACCTTTCAAACTAACAGCCGAGGATTTCATAAACTGACGCTATGTTTTATTGCAGACGTTCTTAGCTACCTCATGTCTTGAAGCTACTCAGGCTAACATCGCATGTCAGGGTAGACGGACATTAGCAGACGGTCTGAAGTATCTTGGTAGCGATAAGTCCTTGATACTTAATTTATACGTTTTAATTGCTCATTCTTCCACTACAAAGTGAGAAGATATAGAAACCAAACTAAACAAAAGCCTTCAACAATGTTAGGCGATAAAACCTAAGAGAACAGACCATCGGTGAAGCAGATAGACCGACGAAGTCAACGTAGAACCTTCCACATAAGTGCATCGGTTCAAATTACTACAAGTTACAGCTGCATACAAAGCATAAGTAGAAAAAGATGTATAAGCGGAAAATCAAAGTTAGTGACGTTAATGAAGCTGTTTTACCTGACCTAGGAACTTTAAGTTAAGTCGATCTAGAGACCATAAGGTAATTTTTATCACTAAGAGAGTTGCACAACAAGTTTGTCACCTCACTTAAGACTGTCTAAAATGTCACACTATTCTTCTAAGTCTTTTACTACTCATCTGAAGGTAAATTTGGGCCATTTGGTTGCTCTCTTTAAGACTATGGAAGCCGGGGTTTAGAATTATATAACATTCAAAATATATCTCAGCGGTACAGATATACTCATTTCTTTTCTCCTTTATGGCTCTTTATGAATGTTGTGGTTATTTTCCTCCATTTTTCTTTATGTTTGACCTCTGCTTCAGCTTGCATTTAGTGCGGTTTATTGTAGAAGTACGCCATCTTGAACTGACTGACTTCGGTTACTATATTCTACTTAACTTAGTTTTGGTTTGAATTGTATGCTTTCTTTTTTCTAAAATGACAGCATCAATTCCCGAGAGGGAAGTATGAAATCGTGGCAAATATTTTGGATATATGTCCACATAACTCAACTGGATTGGTGGGAGATTGTCTGGCTGCTGCTATTACGTGTGCAGGACTAGCTTTGGTTAACTCTGGTGTTCAAATGTATGATCTTCTGATTAGTTTGAATTTGAATCTGTCCAATCTTGGAAATGAAAATGGACACATTTGTGTTGCTGTTTTACCTCGTCTACGTCAATTTTCTTTGTTGTATACAGTGGATTCACATATACCTGATTCGAAATTTCTGCAGAAGTCTTTAACCTATGCTATGGACAATTGCATTAAGCTTGCAGATGTAATTCGGAATAATCTCTGTGGACAGCTTAAAATTAAGAAGTAAATAAACTTGTTCACTATATTTATTCGCTTGTTTTCCGAACTAGTAAGTTTACTGATTTAACCGGTAATTACATCCGTTTAAAAGGAAATCATTGACTTATGAAGTAATGACTATGCTGTTATAATGTAGTCGTCAAATGCTCCCTGATTCAAGCTAACATACATTCACTAATTAGGACGGAAAACGACAAGAACCAACGAGTTTATTAACTGCTAAAGTGATTCACAGCAACAAATTAAAAAAGATACGTTTGTAATGTCTATTATGATATTTCGGAGGTAGTTGTTGAGTTGGTTTAAAATGCATATTTCGTTCCCTTGGCAAATTTAAACAAAGAAGAAATCATAATTTGATTAATAATAACATCAAAATACGGAGATAGAGATTGCTCACAATGTCTTTTGGTGTACGAAGGTCAGTTTTAAAAATATCTGGTTGCAAGGGCTTCAGCAAAGTGTAGTATAATTGGCAATTTATAGTCCTGGTAGGTATCCTCATAGGTATCTATTTGGCGTTCACTTTTCATAAAGTACCTGGCTATCGCACTTGTAGAAACTCTTCTCCATTTCAAACATTTCTTGGGAAATGCTCATAAAATCGATTATATGCTCTTCTCTCAGTCCTTTCTATATACTTACTGCTACAAATACAAGTGAATTAGTTCACCTTAACGTGCTATGCTAGGGGAAGCTGGATTTGGTTGGAAGAGGGGTCATAGTGACCAGACCAAGACCTGGGACCAGTTGATGAAGTCTCTTACTGTTGGTTTGAGTCGTGTGAGGGGATGTAGACTGCCTAGTTGGGGTCCCCGAGACGAAAGGAATCAGTGGTTGAGGACTGTTGTTGACATAAATTAAAATCGATCACAATGGCGCAGATGTATTCACTCCTTGAAATCTAAAGCTTGAGTGTTCACATTAATCTTTGTCTTGAGTTTGTTTATTCTCTCACATAACTTTGTCTTTGATATCTCTCTTTTTCTATCCACCTGTTCTCAGTGTACTACTGTAAAGTGTGGCAACTTGAGCCCATCCACCTGTATGCTAGGTTCTAAGTTGATTTTGTCAGTGTTGTCAGTCAGTTACACAGTTGAAGGTGACATAAGAAGGGTATTTATTTCCCGTAGACTGAATAAGTGAGCACATAGTTTTGTAAAATGATATCGACCTAAGAGAAAAGATTCCTTTTTTTCAATGCAACTTTTATGCGTCTACCTATTCTTTTTACTATCTCATCTCCTAGATGGATAAAAGCCGACTTCTTAATATTCAGATGCTTAAGTTTTTCAGAATATTCTCTCCTATATTTCATAGTAAGTTTCTTAAGGTGTCTATTGTCAATAAGAGTCTCAGCGACAAATAATTCACCTTCCAGTTTATTTTTTGAGTGTAATTTTCCTACTTTGTTGGTGTTGTGATTGGATCTCGCTTATGATTGACAAGACACTAAATTAAGGTTTATGTACTGACCTGCCCATGTATGGCTTTCCTGATTATGCCATTATTTCTGTGTAATCCAAGAAGCTTAGTCTTTTTTGACCTTCATATTCTATCGTAAAATTCATGTTAGGATGGTTTTTGGCTGGAAACCTCAAACAATACTCATGCATATAAATAAAACATATTTGTAAAATCCCAATGTATGATCCTGAAGTTTATAATACTCATACATGATCCATATTGTCAAAGCGACAAAAGTATTATCAATTTACTCCCGATGATATGTTGTTTGCTTATTAATTGAATCGAGACGTTTGCGAAATACACCCCAAGGATGCCGAATAGAACAGATCCTAGTGGTCACCCTACGGCCACTCCACCTGATTATTAGTTGATTGATTAGTAGTAATGGTAATGATTATAGACACAGGACAGTAATGCAACAATAATTGAATATTACTTGTCACGCACCGGGTCCCCTGAAAAATAATCGTATTTGACAACAGGAGTTGATTCCTTAGTGGATGGATAAATTCTTAACAGTTTCGGTCTGAGAATTCGGACGTTACCATCAAACTTAAGAATATATGTTGCATTATGATGTTACTTCTCTAAATCTTGCTGACGTGCGATTAGTTGATAAATACATCCGTTTATTCATGACTTTCTCAACAACTTGGAAGAAATCTCGTTACCTTTTGAAGTTTATGTTGTCAATTTTTGTCACTTACGGAAAGTACCTTTATTTGTCATTAACACTGTTTCATTCATTTAGCGGATATTGATTCTGAAATTTTTTTGACTTTCGTTTTCACTCTGTTTGGTTGTATTCTAATGTGTAACCCTAGGCAGTAGTACAGCTTATAAGAGGATTTCTCAGAGTTAATGAGTTTAGGGTTTTGGTAAAGAAAGGATGGTACTTAGTGCATGTCAAAAACACAGTTTCTTAAAGTTCAACGTAGTGAATTCGCTGATATTATCGTCTAGTGTCAAATAAAATTCGTATCTGGGTGGAATTTAGCATTGCCACTTAACCGTCAAAGTAATCACAAGACATCAAAACAAAAGCCAAAACAAAGAAATGGAAGTGTGATCAAAATTTATAGGAAGCCATAAGAAGAGTATAGGGGTGACAGAATGTTATGTAATGGTTAAGATAAAGGCGTGTATGTATCTACGTCAGTGCAATCGATTCTAAGTCACATCAATTAAAATCTTCAGTCATTGATTTCGGTTGCCACACAGACGCTAACTAGGAAGTCTATACTTCCCTAAACACCTCAAACCAGAGACTGAACTGCCACTTTTTAATTTGGTTAACTTCAACCTTTATTAAAACTAACGCTATTATAGCGGATGTTGTGTTTTGTGGTATACGATGACTAGGCATGTCTAATATATGTTCCTTTCAGCGAAGCCGCCCAACCTCTACATTCCTAACGTGTTGGTTCCACCACTGCCACTCAGCACTTTCAAGGCAACCATGGTCGAACACCTTCAGCTGTAATGTACTCTTTAAGTTTGTTGGTCATATTTCACAACCATACAATAAGATATAGCGAACAGCTATGCAGTGCACTCAACTTTTGGTAGGCAGCCAGATATCTTGCCAATACCACAAGTGGTGTAGGTTAGGAAAAGCTAGTCAAACCTTTCCTATCAGCACCGAAGTTATCTTGGCGTTTGACTCATCAAGGCTGACCCAACTTTTCAACTAGGTGAAGTGGTCAGGGCACGCGATCACATTCCCCCCTATTGTCAGATAGACTGTCCGCACAAGCCAATATTTAGACAACAGTCTTCATTTGGGTAGTGAGGAGTTTATCTTAAACATTTTCAAGTCGCCATTGAACGTACGCATAAAAGTTTCACTTCATCAAGGCATCCATATGCGTACCCTAAGTCAATTAATAGCTCTGCTACGAGGAGACCAATCTTTGTGATGTCAGATGAAGTGAAAGAATTGTCTCAGAAATCATGTTTATGATAATTGAAGGAAATTGAAATGGACATCACGCAACTTAAAGAACTTTTAATGACCAGCTGTTGGTAGGTTTCCATGCAGCCTGTAGGTACGCTGTTGCGAAAGATTGTCTGCTCAGCGGTAATCACGATAATCTGGAAGAGAAAAACACAAGCCGACGACTCACTAAGCACATAGAATGTATTTACATTCAAAAATAAAAGATAGTCGATAAACGGTACGGATTCACAGTAATGAGAAAAAGCAGTTTAGAAATCGAAACTCACTTGATGTTCCACCATAGGCTGTGCCATCGTCATAATCATTTTTTAGCTTATTCTGACAGTATAGGGATAAAGATCTGAAAACTGTTAGAATTTCTTTGATTCAAAACGACTATCCTGAAAGTTCCATCATGAAACTCAGAAGCCGAGACCAAAGCAAACAACACACTCATGATTCTTGAAAAAACTGCTTTTCTTGAACCTAATGGAGACTGATTGGTGGACATATTAAGAAATCGCTTATCCTATCCATTAAGAAAACCTTTGACAAGTAAACCTCTACTCACCTTCTCCATGCAACCAATGGTTCGATTTTGTGTAAAGGGTAGGATACCACTTTTAGTTTTCTCAGTGTGTCTATCAATTCACCTGTTCTTGTGTACGTCGGTTGCACTCATCGTTAAACATATACAAACTTAGCTTTACCAGATAAAACGAAAGCCTTCTTGATGTTCAATTGTAGAGTATTCGATTGATTCTGGACACTAGATGGGTCTGCAGTTTAACTTTAGTGTCATCCGCAGAGTTTTTACGAACCTCATGAAACTGTATGAAAACAACTTCAAATTGTCGATGACATAATGATTCATATTTTAAAGCGTGAGCTTTGCATAAAAGTTAAACTATTCCACCCATCAGGCTTACAATAAATCTAATTTTCATGAACATTTTACATTTGAAAATGTTTACTTTTATGTTACTAATAACTAATTATCTCTCCTCTACACACAACACATCCCTATATATTGTTAATCCAGTTTGTTATTTCAAGTTGGCATCCATCACGGACTGATTTCAACTGGAGAATCACTAAAAACATGGAAACACTTGACAGCCATCTCACCCTAGTACAGGACTCCTCAGTGGTGTGAACCTATTGAATTCCGACCCAGTAGCTCATTGGTAACGTGCTCTGTACATTACCTGATAGTCCTAGATCCAAATTCTGGTGGATTTATGGATGATAATTGCTATGAGGTTCCATACTAGGATGAAACTGCTGTCCAGTGTTCCCAGGTTTTTATTGGTTCTTCAACTGATGTCACTTCTTGTCGAATACCAACTTAGAATCAATAAATCCCAACAAACTTCCAAACTGATGTGTGGTTTTTGAAATACACTCAACTTTATTAGCTGTGTAAACATCGTGCAACATATTTAGCTTTCGATAAATCTGTATCTGACCCCTTTTCCACATATGATTTCACTAATTACACAAGTTCTCAGGTTGACATCCGCTTCAGTTCTAACTAGCTGACCCCATACACCACGGCTTTTCATGAGGACTTCGAAAATATCCATCTTAAAGCATGT